GACAAGCTTTATGCTATGTTTATTAATTTCATTTATCTTTAGATTGAATGTTCCGATAGCCATATAGATTTGTCTACATTAAATGGTAAATTTCAAAATTTAATTCAAGCTACTGTCGAAATTTATTGAAATCTGAAATGACTAGCAACAATTTATTAATAGATAGGGCAATTTAGGAAGGCAACGTCCGCAACAAATTATCAAATAAAGATATAAAATAAAGATAATTTAAAAGATCATACATATTCTATCGTTTTTATAATTATTTGGTTTACTGGTTTATACTGGTGTGTGTTTAACGTGCATAAGAGGCTGTTAACATCTGCTTGTAATTTGCGAGAAACAAGCTGATAACATACGTCTTTTGTGGATTTAGTAATTAATGCTATAGTTGGGACGTTCAGAATTGGCATAGTCCAAAATAAAACTGTCACATTTACTTTCTTCTTTCAACTTACTAGAGCGATTGCTGACAGAACGCCTACTTTTACTCACGATGAACGTTGTAGGAAATATTGTAAACATAGAAAAGAGATGTCAGGTAGGAATTGCAGCGGACACTAATAAAAAAAGGAATGACATTACACCAATTAATGTGTAACAGAAAGAGATGCAGACAGGCAGAATTTGAGCATGTTGCCAGGGTCGTACTTTAAAGAAAGTTCAACATTTACAGAAATTTAGGAAAGCAAAAGCGCTTGTTTAAAGATATAGTTCCAACAAGGCAGTTATAAAACCGATTTTGATCTTTTGGGTACCTAAGCAAGTTCTAACCGCTGCACCGCTTACTGTTATTCGATCTTCTCTTTCCAATTGGTCTGTACTACTGATGAAGTATCTCCTAACTCAAAACACAGCAAATGACTACAATCCAAAGTGGAAACAAAAAAGAAGATATGTCCATCCTTTTAGATAATTTATTGCGGAGTTTGGTAATATTGATCGTCCAAACTATAAAGTTATCAATTCTAACATACTGTGTGACTATGGAGGGTAGTGTGTGGTGCTGATTCCGATTCCGGTCGCAGAATTGTCACAGCACGTATGAATTTTCAAGTATTCTAACGTCAAATAACAAAAAAATCCAATTTTTGACGCTTTTGTGAGTATTACTACGTGAAAGAACGAAATAACCAAAGGAGGACTTAGTTCTTACCTTTGGCTAATCTTTTATCGCCGAATTAGGATCTCGCTTTAGATTTACCTCAGTACATTAAGATTTTGATATGTCAACTTAAAACATCAAATGACGCTAGTTTGTCTTGAGTGCTTTTGAGGTTAGGTTAGGTTAGGTTGCTTTTGAGGTTAGGATACCTATCGCGATATTTCAACATGCCAGACCTTTTCTATGTTAACATTTGACTGCGTGTTCTCGGAAAAGAGAGTTCACAAATACTCAGAGATGTGGGATGTTCTAATTTTAGGCAAAGACAAGAATTGGTTTGGGACTGAAACGAGTGGAGGTGCGCTTCCAACCAGTCTTCGATTGACTGTTGTATTACGAGAGGAGATAGATACAGCATTTATGATTGCAAGACGAAAATGCATATACATAATTAGAGTAAACGTTAAAGTAGACGTCCGGTGACAAGGTCGTCCTGAAAGAAATCTGGCGTAAAAATCGCCACTACCAACCAACAGCAACTGCGATCTTCAACTGTGCAAGTATTATGTACACCCGTACATGATTATATATGTAAAGAATGGGGAATATATAATTGCATTTTGAAAATGAATCGTTTACACCTTGAAATGATAGGTTTTAATGTAAAGGATTGTGCGGTCCCAACAAATTGTGAGTAAATGGAACGGGAAGATCTACGCATCACGACAATTTCTTTAAAAATGCAACCTCATGTAAATTCTCCATCTGAAATAAAGTATTTATTGAGGCAGCATCTGTTATAAAGTTACCGAGTGTCATGGCCTAGAGGTCTAGAGCATTGCTTAGCATTCGGGAGGACGCCGGTTCGATTCCGGGTCCGTCTGCCTTGGTCCAAGTTTTTCTGTGGTTTCCTTGAATCAATTAGGCAAATGCTGGGGCAGTAATATTCCACAGATAATCTTTCATTCTGTTCTGTCTTCATTTCGTCCGTCACATCTTTCTCACCCGAATCATCACCCACCCATTCCCACGATTCCTGAAAGCAGGCTGAAGAGGGCCTTCCGCCTTACCTTCCGGCGTAGTCCGGAGGGATTGCCCATGCACCAGCATTAGTGGCCAAAAGTTTTTTTTTATTTGTTATAATTCTTTTCTTTCGTTGATGACGGACTGGTTTGGTAATTGGGATTGCTCATACTGTATTAAAAGTGTGAGAGATGGAACTTTTGCTTGACGGTTTTAACACGTGTGGTCCTGACGAGCCAACATTAAAAGTTTTTTCACTGTTTCTTCCCTTAGTTTTATACATGAAAAAAATGTCAAGGCCAATGAGGGTAATAATGTCTTTATTTGATTACAGAACCGACACCAACGTTTCGCCTCTTGTTACGAAACTTAGTGATTATTGAAAAATAAGAGCAAGTAGTAAAAAGAACGATTCGAAAATCTGTACGACTAATAAATGTTTCATTATACATATGTATGAAAAACCTTCGTCTAAATTCTTGTACAAAGTTCCTGTGACTTTTTGACAATAATGAAAAATGATGCATACTGCATCGCAAATATTCTTGTTCAAATTGGAACTTTCTTCCTAAGTCACCATCGAGTGAATGCACCTACATTGTAAGTGTTAAGTGGTTTTATAATTGAAGAATTTTAAAAAAATAATAATGCCAAGGAAAGGTAAAAGTCTTCTTGAAAGACTTATTACTTAAAATCGAAAGGAGTAATAAATTCTGGTAATGTGTCATTCTTACTACATTGAAATTTATCTATTCATGTAGGTAGCGAAATATGCACACACATACAGATACATTTAGAAAATATTTCTTATGTATATACATTTAAAAAGAAATTTAGTAAAAAGTAATAGGTGCACTCCCAAAAAAAATTAAATTATTAATTAAAAGGATTACAATAAAATAATATTGTCGGGTTCGAATTGGGTTAAACTAGGGTTTACAGGTACGTTTATAATACGGGAATCAAGTCAGAACCGGACTCAGAACCCTATAAGAATAAGCAAGGATTCTTGTAATAGAGTTTCACAAATTAACAAGGACCAAGTATGAATATCAAAATACAAATTCCCTAATACTAGAGCCTTATCTGGTCCGGATGTCTGTTGCGGTTATCCCTATTTCATTTCTACTTGGGTATACAACAGTCAAGAAGAAAAGTTTGAAGTTGGTAAAACGGATGAAGCGCAAACTATAATTTAAAGGAATTTTGGAAAAGTAGGGTGCAGTAGTAATAATATAAGAAACGAGTATAAAAAATGAGAAAAAGGCAGACAAGTTGAAAGAATACTTAGAGAACATATACGCAGGCCATGAGTTACGAGATATAAAAGTGTGGAGATAGATGAATTAGGGTATCCCACAATATGAGAAGAGATCGATGTAGCATTAAAAAACTTAAAGAATAATTAGGCGCTAGGTATAGATGGGATACAGGCGGAAATTTTAAAACCTGAAGAACAAGGGGTTTGAGATCATATGTTTAAGCTAGTTAGTCACATTTGAGAGACGGGGAAAGTACCGGAGGATTATAAGCGAAACGTGGTAGTAACCATAGTTATAAAGAAAGGCGTGGGTAGGTGCGAGACATTTAGAACAATTAGCTTAACTTTCGATGCGTCAAAATAGAAAGAAAGATGGAAAAAAGGGCGGAAGAACTATTAGGGAAAGATCAATTTGGGTGTAGAAGAAATAGAGGAAAACGGGAGGCCATTCTAGCTTTACGGCTAACAATAGCATGAAGGTCTAGTCAGAAACATATTAGAAGTAGAAACACGAGGTAAGAGGAGTAGAGGTAGACCTAGATTGGATTACTTTCCGCAAATAATTAAGCATGTGGGAACTTCTAGTTTTAAAGAAATGCGAAGATTAGCTCAGGATAGGAAGGAGTGGAGGTGCGTGTCCAACCAGTCTTAGAACCGACGACCTTATGATGATGTGATGATGATACAAGACTGTAACCGTCACCTACGGAGGAATCAGACATATAGTCAAGCGTTGAATAAAATATAGAAAATGAGTATAGGTACATGTATGGTGGATGCAACCTTTTTTAGTGGATTAATTAAGGTTATGGTTATCCTAAAATTTGATTACGTGCTTATTACGTATGTAGAGGTAGGAATGCCGTGAATTCAGTTCAATTCGAAATTTTTACGGACTCTATTGAATATTTTTGAATTTCCCAAAATGTACCAATATTCTACAGATGACTTTACCACACTTTTCATAGCAATTAATAACACGCTTTCTTAAGGCAGAATCTAAGTATTGTATTCTGTCGGAACCGACTGCGACGAACCCATGAGATCCAATGAAATCGAAATCGCGATCCGCGTCTGACAATTTCATTAGAATACAACCACCATGAACTTTTCGTTGTAAGATGATTTTTTTGAAACTACTATACAGCTAAAAGCCCCGTTTAATAATTACAAAACTTGAAAGGTGTACACGTAGGGTCTCTACATGTTCCATAGTTATAAATTTAAAGAATCCTATTTAGAGATCTTATCAAAAAATAGTATCTATTTCTAGACATGAATCAACCAGATATTAATTCCGAAAATAAAACAAAAGTTTGTCAATAACAACAACAAATTAAATTAAAAATATCAAAAAAGTCGACTGCGTCAGTAGCGAACTAAAAAGGTGGAAACATACGGTTAATGTCGAGTGCATGTAGGTACGCATTTATTTTCTAGTCTTGTACCGGTCGGGTTTCCCCCAGCGTGAACCAATGGTCGCTCGCAGACAGTGGCGTTTTCCTTCTTTTTCGCCCGTTTACTGGTCAGTTACTTCTATTTAAAAAAATAGCATGTCTCTCATCTGTTTCTCACGACATACCCGGTAGGGACCGGACGGCATACGTGCAAGTACGTATGTACATACATAGATGTACTTACACCAAGGTTGGAGCGAACCTTTATAAACCGTTTGACTGGAACATGCAGTCCTGAGTTTGAATCGAGCTTTTCGAGTAATTCGTTCAGTATTTTGTCAACTTTTTAAGTTGGTAACTTTCAAAAACTACCTAACGACATCGGTCACTTGCTAGATATTGGTTTTTAACTGCAGTGTATTGGAAATTAAATATTTTGTGAAGTTCTTTCTCTGCAATTTGTGAGGTAAGTCATTATATTATTTTCAATTATTTATTGTTAAGGGGTGGATTGGGGTATCATTTCCGTAAGTGAATAGTCACACAATTTGTAGATCAATATACTTGTATTTCGAATGTGTAAAACATTTTTAGTTTTGTTATAATTAGATTCATAAATGAATTTTTAGTTGATTTTAATGAAGTAGATATATCCAATAGTTTACTGGTTTTACGTAACAAGCATATAAATAAACAAATTATAATTAATAGCATTGAAATTTTCAAAATATTCACCCTTCATTGCTTTTTGTACCAACATCGCCGATATACTTTCTTAGAAGAATGTGGAAACAGGTAATCATTTATTTATGATTATTAAAATTACCGAATTAAGGCTAATTTATAACGAATTAAAGAATATATACTTAAAAACCATAACATTAACCGAAAATACAAATGAAAATTAGAACTAGAGAACATTATAAGACCTTATTATTTTATTTGTACACTAACTACATTATTTATCAAATAATATAAAATATCTAATTTTATTAAATCTACTACTGTAGTATGAAAAACTCCAATACCGTTCTTGTAAAAAAAATAAATTATAATGGCATTATTATCTATTACATACCGATCCTCAAACATTGGTAGAAAAAATTATTTATCGCAAAATTAGATCGTAATAATTGGTACCAAACTTGTTTCTACTACTGTACCTCTTTTTTATTGCAATTTTTTGAAATTTTTAATGCAAACATACCCTAAAATATTAGTTACACTACAAACTGTTGTTTATTGCTTTTTTTAATTATTGCTAATAATTACTTTACCAATTCACACTTCTCCGTTACCTAAGAAAGCTTCACTCATAGAAAAGGTGTATTTTAATAACCTAATGTAAATATTTGGATGTCTTGTCTTTGCATGTAATATTTGATCCTCTAAGAGACTTAAAAATGCATACTACAAAAATACATTTCGTTATGTAATAACCACTTTCTTTATCCTTTAGCTGGAAGGTCAAGTTTAATAAACTTGTAGGCACACATTCAAATAATTACCATTCGCAATATTTACACGTATTGTAGAGCTAACGACTGCATCAGTTATTTCGAAGATTCTTTTTTACTAACGTGAAAGAAACCTTAAAAGAAGGTTAAATTTTGTTCAATAACCTCTAAAAATTGATATTCAACTTACTGTAAATTGGAAAATTAATTATCTCATGGACAAAAAACAAATAGCAAAAAATTAGTGTTCTTGTAAAGTGTTTCACTTGAAAGGAAGTTCTTTAGAATTTAAATCAATTTTTTCGTCTGAATACATTATAGGTAAAAGTTTAAAAGGTTTTATTATACGCTAAACTTTATTTTAATAATCGTATTCCAAATTCTTTTAAAGAAAAATATGAAATTGTCAAATAATTCTTCGAAATTGATAGATGTTATTTAAATGTGAAAAAAAAAACTGTCCATTTTATTAAAACACAATTCCAATAAACTGGTTTGTTCGATTAATACACTGTCAACGCACTTCTGTCATAACATTGAAATTATAATCATTATATTATCGTTAACTACTTGGTAAAAATGCACACCTTTCACACAGGATTACACTTAATATTGTAAAAGTTGAAACTTTACGATTTTGAAAAAACCTTTTCAAGGTTTAATCGACATTTTTGTTTAACGCCAGGTGCAAACAATGTTACCTATTTTATTGTACTGTAGGTTATAACTTCGATAATATGTGATAATTTATTATTAACATTTATTAACACAAAAACTCTTCCGATACGTAGACATATCGCGGAAACAGTTAAAAATAGATACACCTATTGTATGTAGTTATAAATGGAATGACCGATTAAAATAAACAAATTATTTTTTACAGTATTTTGTTGACTGTGTTATAAAATATCTTGAATGCATAAATAAAATAAGTAATTATCATGTTAATAGATAATTGTGAATTTTCTTTCAAAAGTTAGATGAACTATAGTTAACTTGTGGAAAATACTTGAGTGCATGTCTTCTTTGGCGACCACCTTGGCAAAAAAATATATCTAACTGTTCAAAGTATAGACTATTCTTCTTGATGCAGGTCATAAAGTTTATGTATATAATTTTTAGAATGTTTTGCAAATTTACAAGGCGGCGTTTCGTTTATTTGATAGTCGACCCTTCGAGGATGACTAGATGCATCAGTTAAATACAATAGTTAAATTAGTTTATAGAGGTAAAGGTTTAGGAAGGATCCTTTACGATTCCCAATCCATTTTCATGTTTATTATGGAGTGTTTATTTTATGGGTTGAACGTTTAGAAGGTGCCGTTTGTTGAGTTTTTGATATAGCCCAGGTTATAAACATCCCTCTCTTCAAAATTTTTGAGTTTGAAAGCCCCGCCTTGTAAGTATCCACGGAAATGTTTTATAGGGTTAATCACCAATGGTGACATTCGTCACACCCTTAGCATTTTTTCCTAGTTTTAACTTTTAGATATACGAAGTGACCAGGGCGGCATGGCCAATTTCCTTGGATCACTTAAGTAAATTCTGGGGCAGTAATATTCTACAGATAATATTTCATTCTCTTCTGTCTTCATTTCGTCCGTCTCAACTTTCTCACCCGAACCACCACCCACCCAATCCCACAATTCCTAAAAGCAGGCTGAAGAGGGCCTTCCGCCCTACCTTCCGGCATAGTGCGGAGGGACTGCCCGCCTACCAGCTTTACTGGTTGGTGGGAATGAAACACCAAAAAGATTTTTTTTTCATGGCCAAGGTTTAGATCATTGCTTAGCATTCGCAAGGATGCCGGTTCGATTTCGGGTCCATCTGCCTTTCTCCAATTTCTTCTGTGTTTTCCTTGGACCACTAAAGTAAATGCTGGGGCAGTAATATTCCACAGATAATCTTTCATTCTGTTCTGTCTTCATTTCGTCCGTCTCAAGTTTCTCACCCGAACCACCACTCACCCAATTCCACGATTCCTAAAAGCAGGCTGAAGAGGGCCTTCCGCCCTACCTTCCAGCGGAATTATACGAGGGTGGATTGATAAGTTTCCGGCCTAACCAAGAGATGACGCCACTAGGCCTACCTTGAGGTGACATTCTATAGTACCATCCTTGGATAGCTTGTAGCTATAGTTTCAGCCCGATCTCCTTGCTAGTGTAGGTTTGACAGCACGCTGAACAAGACGCCTCTGTGGTTTTCGTAAAAATGGAAAAGCAGGAAAATCGT